TATCGCGCTGTGGCTTGGGCGCGAGAAGATGATCGAGTCTGCGGCACCGCTGGAGTTGGTGCGCGATTTCTTCCTGTCCCATACGATCGAGGAATGCCAGCAGTTCTTTGCGCTGCTCGAGGATCGCGCCGATCAGCTCTCTCGGGCCATCATCGGGGATTCGCGCGCCAACAATACCCTCCTGCGAGCGCTCTCCGAGGTCCGTAAGCGGCTCTCCCGCACGAACGACCTCGTCTTTGCCGGTCGCATCCTGATGTTCATGGCCTACGCGTTCCCCCTCTCCGACAAGTCAGGTACGCTTCGCGACTTGCGCAAACACCTTTGCCCCTCTCTAAGCTGCTAGCGCTCAACTCTCCACCACTTCGTGCGTGCGTGCGTGCGGTTTGTTCCTTGAACAACAGGCGTCAATCTCAAGGGTGAAGCGAATGTGGCCAACGTCACCACAATGGACAAGGAGCCCAGTCCAGCCCTCGAAGAAACCCCCGAGGACAGTACGTGTGGCGCTCTCTAAGATGTGCTGGTTGTTGTTTGTTGGTTTGATTCTCAATCGTTCTCACTTCCCCCCCCTCTTGTTTCCATCAGAGTCGGAACCGCCAGTGGACTGGACCTTCTATCAGATGTTTTGGGGGCTGCAGTCGTACTTTTTGAACCCTATCAAGGCCTTCGACGCCTGGCAGGTCGTCACTGGTCACCTCAACTCTGTCCTGGACCTATTCAAGCAGTATCCCATCTCTGAAGAGGTGCTTCCCACGCTTTAAGCGTTGTTCCCTATACGAAAGGAAAACCTAATCTCTCTCACACTCCCGCACTCTCACAGGAGGCTAGTGCGGCGAGTTACAGCTATGCCAACCCGCCGGCGGCAAGTGAGTGCTATCTCACGAAGTATCTCACCTCCAGCCGACTGCTGCGCTTGCAGCTGCGCGACCCGTGGTTCCGACGCCACATCATGGTCCAGTTCCTGGTCTTCTTTCAGTCCCTCCGAGTCGTCAGCGAATCCTCCACCATCGCTCAAAAGCTGACTGAGCAACAGGTACACCTACACGCTCTGTGCCACTCTCGTCGGGGCTGGCTATGTGCAATTTCAATTGCATTGACCCACTCCTCCTCTTCCTTCTCCTTCTTGGTGTGGTGCAGAAAAATGAGATTGCCGGTTTGACGAAGAAAACCAAAACCTCACTCTGGGAAACCCCGCCCAATGGGATGCACTTCACCAACACTATCTACGCTATTCTCAAGCGCGAAAACAATTGGGTAAGTTTGCAGTTTGGGTCTTTCCCCCTTATGTGCCCCTTCTCTACTCAACACTGACCAAGTGCTATGCTGGTGCTTATTTGGCCCGCTCCCTTTCTCCAGACGGATTGGAAAAAAGAAGGCTGCCCACCATTCGAAAAGCCCCCGGTAGCCCCGCTGGAGCCAGCAGCTGTGCGGGCTGCGCGGGAAGTGCGTTTCAACAAAAAGAAGAAGGGCCTTGCTGCCCTCCTCGAAGGGTACTTTGCCCCCCCCCCTCTCCCTTTTTTCTCATTCTTCAAGTGCCGAGCGTGCAGCTAACAACACTCATCGTACCTGTTCGTGTGGCGGCTGTTGGTGCTGCTATTGCCTCCAACCACCACCACACCACCACACCACCACCACACCACCACCACAACCACACCACCACACATAGGGAATCAGTACGAGATCTGCAGGCACTTCTGCAAAAGGAGGAGCGCGGTCGCATGGTGTCGCTCGAGGAATGGCTTGAGCCCGTCATTGAGGAGATGGATCCCGAGGCTGCCATCGAGTCCCAGTACAAGAAGATCAACACGGACAAGGTCTGTGTTTCTCCCTCCGCTCCGCATCACCTCGCTCTTGGCATTGCCAGTTGGTTGCACGCTACGCTGCCCCTCGTCGCCAAACTCTAACCCGAGCCGGTCCACCGCCACAGATCTACGTGTGGCGGGCAAAACGTTTGACCTTCAAGCGCAGTCTCGAGTACTTTTGCACGCTTGCCAAACAGGACGCTACTCTCGAGGACGTGGCCAAGCAACTCCTTGCCAACAAGGGTATGTGGAAGCCGAGAGAGTTGAGTTTTGCATGGTTGGTAACTGCTGCCGTCAACAGGAACTTCAACAGAAGATGGGGTGGTACTGGAGGATCGTGAGGAAAAACGCGACGCCGATGTGGATGATGTAGAAGACAAGGAGAGCGTCGTCAAGATCGAAGCCAAGCACAGTGAAGATCAGGAAGGAGACCAACTTGTCAGCGAGCCCGACAGTCATGACGACGACAGCAAGCCGCCCACGAAGACTGCCCTGGAGGCAGGCGAAGTACCGACACCCCAGGTCGAAGAGGAGGAAGGAGACAACGAAAAGGAAAGTGAGGTGGGTGAGAAGCGGAAGGAGATGCCCGCCTCGCCACTGAAGGCACGCGACGATGCCTCGTCCCCAGCGGTGAAGAAGAGACGAGTTGCGAACAGCCCACTTCTTGTGACGACACCTGGTGAGGCCAAACCAGCGGGGCCACAATAAACTGAAAACAAGGCGGATCCAAAAACAACAGTGAACAACAGAAAAGAAGGCAAAGGGCACACAGATTGGAATAGTACTTGCAATTTGTTTGGCTTGTTAAGCTGCAAATGTTTTGGATGAACAAGCATGCTGAGTTTTGATCAGACTGTCCAAGTGACACTGTGGGAGAGGATGCAATGGCATGAGGCCCTGTGTTCAGACATGTGGGCAGTTGAGGCACATTTTGCAAAGTTTATGTGGGTTGTCAGTCCACCTGAAGTGATTTGCATCTCCACAAATAATAGAACCATTTCATTTGCCAAATAATTGGTGACACACAAAATGGGGGCTTTTGTGCCTGAGTGGATGTGTGATGCCACATGGCATTCTTCCCACATACAATTAAGTGTGCAAGTTGTTTTCTCTTTCACACCCCACCATGAACAAGAGAAAGTATGATGGGCTGCAACCCACTGACACCAAAGTGTGCAAGATTGATGACATGGATGGTGTTCTGCTCAAAAAGCACACCAAATTGCTGTGGGAGAAGATCCTGCATGCATGCCATCCTGAGTGGTACAGTGACCTGCTCAGCATGAATGTCATCTCTGAATTCATGTCATGCCATGAATGTGTCTGCCTGCTCAAAAAGACAACCTTCTCTCAATCAAGGACTCAAGTGTGTTTGATTGAGGGGCATGGTGGAGTAAGGCAACAGATTGGACTACAACACATTCACATCATTCCTGAGGTCAACAGGAAAACAACAGTGGACAGTGTTGACACAACAGCAGGCAAACACAAATGCAGGCAAAAGAAAGACAAACTCACAAGTATAAATAATGTACAATGAGGTTGATGTGCACAACACCTAGCTCCAACAAAAATCTTAACTTTATTTTTTTGAATGATGAGGGTGAGCGCAATGTCACAGCGGGTGGGAGGAGTCCGAAGTGCTGAATCTAGGCTGACGCCACCAGAGAGCAGCCACAACGGCCACGAAGCCAACACCTGCCAGCACGAGCACCAACACAGCGGGTACCGCTACGCCAACTGCTATTGCCACCGAGTGGTCGCTGCTGCTGCTGGCCGCACGCACAGGCGAGGCTGAAGTTGATGCCAATGCCGATGCTGATGGCGATGGCGATGGCGATGATGAAGACGATGTGCACACAAGTGCCGTGGTGAATACCAGCTTCAGATAAATGTTGCCACTTGCCTCGGTGAACGAGCCATTGACAGCAACAGCCGTGCTCCCACTGTCCTGGTCGCAGAGCAAATTAATTCTGCGCGAGGCACAAGAGAGGCGGATGCATTAGTCGTTGCACAAGCACCCAATCAACAGGGGAGGGTTTCTAACGTTGTTTGATAGCGCAGCCTGTCGTTTAGCACGCTGCCCAGAGAAAAGATGCTTATCCCACCTGAGTCAAAAGGGGGTTCAGCAAAAGGGGGTGTGTGAGAGGGAGGAGCCAATTACACGCACGAAGGGTTTCAAACCCTGACGTACCGGAGATTTCAGAGATGGATGAGGTCTCTGCATAGGCAGCCACGGCCCTCCGGAGATAGTAACACACTACTGTGCCTGGCACCCCATCATTCCCCTCTAGTGCCTCGTTATCATCGCAGAAGGCTACCTCACACGAGTAGTTGTTGCCTTGCAAGTAAGCGGTAATGGGAAAGATAGAGCCACTGTGTATATAATTGATATAGGAGTTAGCAAAACCCCCAAAGAATCAGAGCCACTGGGATTGATGTACATACGCCAAGGGTGTGAGGTCGTAGGTGGTGGTCCCAACGGTTGGCTGACACGGATAAGAGCCACCAACAACACCTGCTTCCGCAGCAGCCAAGACCGCAGCGAGAAATACCACCACAGAGGCCAGCTTGTACATTGATGGACGAAGAGAAAGAAGAGAGACTGGGGCCTCCACCGGAGAATAATTCTGCAAGAAGAAAAACCCAGCAGCTGCTGCTGGCACGTGCCGTGGTGTTGAGGAGGTGCCAAGGGTCAAGGGACACGGCGTTCGTGCACGAAATGAAAGAGGGTTACCACTGGTTAACCCTTTGGTGCCCAAGAGGGGGGGGGAAAAGAAAAGAAACAGAGCAAAAGAAGATGCACTGCAGGTGGTGTTGGGGATGCCTGGCTGGGTTGTTTATGCTTCAGGTCGTTTTGTTGTGGTGGTGGCTCCCTGCTGCTTCCGTCGCTCCTCCTTCCATTGCTCAGCCACAGCCAGCACTCTCCAAGGAATGCCACGCAGCGCTCACAGCACTCGAAACCACCAAAGGAGAGCTCTTCTACCGGGTGGCTACGGCACGTCTCATGGTGGCAGACTACGCTCGCCTCCGGCGCGACTTCCTTCGCCTGCATAGCATGAGTGACGAAGCCATTGATGCATGGCTGCTTGACGAGGTCGCCTTCCTTTCCTCAAACCACTTTGCTCATGTGCGCCCCCCCTCCATGTACGCTGTTCGGCCACCAAAGCACTGGTTTGATGTGGGCATCTGCGTCTTGCACAGGAGTATCAAGATCCACCGCCAGGGGGAGCACAGAAGGGATCCGGCCCGTACAGGAGGAAGGTGCACACGGCCCCACAGCGTGCGATAGACAAGCAAGGTGTGCCCATTGCAAGGAACCTGTCCGTCGTGCGACCGCCGCGTTACGATCGCGCCGCTGTGTTCATCTTATCCAGGTCAGGCGAAGTGGTGGTATGGCACTGAGAATCTGCTGTGTCGGCAATTTGTTACGTTTCTCTCTCTCTCTCTCTCTTCACTAACTCATCACCTCGCTGTCACAGGAAATGCTTGACGTGAAGGGAGTCGGCCTTGTTCCACCAAATCCGCCCATCAGTCAGGCCTACCTAACCGGCGTGTTGCCCATCTACGAAGCGGTGGCTGAATTCATGTGGGCCACGGTAGTGCAGCGCATACTGGACGAGAGTGGCAGCAATGTGAGGGTGCTTCCGCACTATGCGGTGATCGATCTAGGGTTTGACATTGTGGTGTATCCCAACACGACCTGGCTTTCGCCCGCCAAAGGTACGGACAACAGGAACACACATCTGGAGTGGCATTTTCCCGCTTAACAACATCAAAATAACCATCATAAGGAACTGTTGGGGCGGCCCTGCTGGTCAGAGCGGCACACTGCCGAGAAGGCACACACCGCATGACGAACAACGAGTCGCTGCTCTTGGAAAAGACATTTCGTCGCTATGGTCTCAGTACGTAGCCTCTTTCTCTTCTCACTTCACTTTCGTTCTGCTCCGGAGCCCTTACAGCACTGATTTTCCTACTCATGATGGTGCATCTGCCCCTTCCTTCTGTTGGTGGTGTGGTCGTCGCCATGGCGCAGGCACCTGTGCAGGCCGTTTGTACCGCGGCTCATGGGCGTGTGCGTTGAACTACCAGGGTAGCACGGACAAACAGCTCCTTGACTTGGCCCCGTTCAAGACCCTGCAGCCTGACCAGTGGGACTGGCCAGTCGTTGTTGATGATTGGCAATCACCAGACCGCGAGATGTTGGTGGTCGACCTATCAGGCTACAGGCCAGACGCCCGCCTCATGGTCAACCGGGACGACTACTACTGGGGACTCTCGGGCGAAGGCTCCACGCGGGCTCACAGGCGTCTCTATCACTTTACTCTGGCCCTACACAAACGCTGGCAACGAGGAGCTGGTGTGAGTAGAACAGAGCTACTGGCGGAGATCGAAGGAGCTATCATGCAACTGCCGTTTATGTCATAATATAATATAGACCTCTAAGGATCGGTCAGAGGGGGGGGGGAACACCAAATGGTCTCTTTAAAGTGTTGTGTAGTGTGAACTACACTTGCACACGACTCCGGTATTCCGTTATATCTTTATTAGGTAGTTACCATATATGTGACACGTACACGTTAGATAATAAATCAAAGAGGCTCTTCTGAGCTCTCTTATCTTTCCATCAACTGCGTGATACCTCAACATAAAGTTGTTATTCAGTGTTGCCGCACCAAGTCCGCGGCACCGGTCTGTTCAGGAAGGCACCACCAGTCCTAACCCACAGGGCGACCAGCATCAGATCCCCACGTGCTGACAAACCTAAGATTAGAGCTTGGGGTGGCGAGGCGGGTTGGGCAGAGGCTTGCCGGTGATGCGCCACTAGGCCGAGCTCACCACCACCACGGGCACCGACTGCGGCACCGTGGCACCCATGGCGTAGTAGTTCCACTCGTCGGCATTGTCCTGCGCGTTGCCCAGCTCGTCGATGGCCTTGGTCATGAGGAAGTGCTTGGCGCCGGCGCGCGTTGCGCCACTCGAAGCTCCACGCGATCCAGGCGAACTTGCCCACGGCCTTGGCAGCCAGCGTGGCCTCGGCCCACGTGACGCCGCCGTCGACGCTCACCAGCACCTGCTTCACCGCCAGCGGTCCCGCCCACACGCGGCCCTTCAGTTTGACATTGCCTGCCACCCCACCCCACCCCACCCCACCCCACCACCGCCATCAGCCGCACCACGTGAGCTTCGTTCACGCATGGAGAGTGGGAGTGGATGCTGAGTACCTTCTTCGACGAGGCGAACGCGAGTGAAGAAGTCAGGCACGCCGGGAGGCACCATGAGCGATCGCACCTTGAGGTGCCTCATCCGCTTGCCCTGCGGGTCGCCTGCAAATCCAGCGTCAGCCTATCAGATCAAACAGAAACTGTGCGATGTGTCGCGCTGTGTGCTGTGTGCTGTGTGCTGTGTGCTGTGACATTATCCCTATGTGCATGTTGTGCTTGTGCTCCTGAGAATAGTTGCACATTGGATCCAGCCATGACAAAAGGAGACAGTGGGAGGACAAGTCAGAGCAGGGGTCATCAGCATGAGCAGAGCATGAACCCCACCCCACTGCCAACCAAATTCATCTTCAAGCTGGCCAAAGTACCCTCCATGGTCCTGGCGTCAGCCAGCAGTGCCAAGATGAGCAGTCTCATGTAGAAGAACCTCAAGAGGAAGAGGACCCACCTGCAGCACGCCATCAAGCACCAAGGCAACCACAGATCCTCAACCACAGTGGAATCATCATGTGGCAGCCAAGTGGACCAGCTGCAGGTAATCAACTCACTGCTCAACTGGTGCCACACCAAGCTGTTCAGATTTCTCACCAAGGTGGACCTGATGGCCCACACTGCCAATGCCATGGGCCAGGCGTCAAACTTGTATCAGCACCTCCTCCCCCTCTACAGCCACACCGCCACACCCCAATAAACCAGTCAACTCCCAGTGTACACACAGGTCCCAGCCAAAAGCAATCAGTTACTCATGCCTGAATCCAACCACCGCCAGTGTGGCTGGTGGCAAGTGCACTTTGGCATAAATGCCTTCTCCTTGCCAGCATTTCCACTTGCACACTCTGATGTCAGAGGCAGAGGGATGTCAGAGCAAACTGCAAAGATGTCCAGGATTGTCATTGCTGCGTTGGCGTCGTAGAATTGCACCATGGTCTCCTCCAAGTTTAATATGTGCAGGAGGTAGTCAGACAGTGTTTCTTTGTCTTTGTTGGCACACTGCCATCACACTCAACAGTTGTAGCAACAGGTACAGCATCAACAGAGCGCTCCTAAGTGTTCATTGTGACTGCAGCAATCCTCTCCTGTACTTGCACACTCCCATGCACCATCTGTCCTCTTGGTATGGTTGGGCTCCTTGGATTGAAAATGTTATGGACATACAGCTCAAGCCACAACCCAGCCTCCCATGTGGGGATGGACTTTATGCACTTCAAGGACCAGACCAATCTCTGTTTGGTGAGGTGGATGAACTATGGCTTTCACACCTTCCCTGTAGTCACAGGATGCTATATGGTCATGCCAGGCAAGCATAGACTGGTACATGTCAGCAGCTGTGCTCGCATGACCTTTCATGTGGAAGGCAACCATGTGATATTCACTGACAACACTGGTATGCTGAATGCAAAACACTACACTCTCTATCCAGGCAAATTCATTTGGGCTGGCATGTTGCCAGCACTCAAGTGTCATCCAGAAAAGGATGAGACACCATTAAATTAGGAAGGTTGTCTGAGAGATCATTGATGTGTGTTTTATCCTCCTTTTCTGGATGTGTGTGTAGCCAATCAGAAAAATACAAAACCCTAATTTTGTTTCATCAACACCCAATGATGAAGCCATCCCATAGCAACAACAACAACAACAAGGAAATTGAGGAAGAGGTTGAGATCAGTCTCAAGCATACCAAAAGAGGACTATCAGAAGAGGCAAAGGAGTGTCTGGTCTGGTTTGAGATGATTCAGGTACACAAGCTGAGGACCATCTTCAATTCCATCAAGGACATCATCACTGATGTCAACCTCAAATTCTTCCCAGAGGGAGATCCCAACCATGGCCTTCTGATGTCCTTGTTTGACACATCAGGGACAGCTCTGGTCAAGCTTGCCTGTCCAGTGTCCAACATCTCCAATGCTGGCATGTTCCATTGCAAGAGAGCAGTGCAGGCTGGCATCAACATCTCCAAGTTCCATTGTCTGCTCAAGACAATGAAGAACCACAACAGCTTGGTCCTCTTCATGAGAGATGATAATTCCAGGTACCTCTACCTGCAGCCCAATCACGCCAGTTCCATGGGTGGTGCACAACCACAGGAATTCAAGTACATACTCCTGGCCTTGAATGATGACACAATCAGTGACTGCAAGTCACAGTATGACATGGTCAGACACATACCCACAGAGACTTTCCAGGGACTGGTTCACAATCTCATCCAGTCAGTCAACCTGCCATTGGTCAGTGTCTCATGCAGGGAAGGACATCTGGCTCTTCACAGAATTGGCGAATTTGCACACGCCTACTTCCCCATTGAACAGATTGAGATCCCCAACATGCATACTGCCAACAATGACAGTCAGGCTGTCAGTGCTACTGCAACAGCAATGCCACACAAAAAACAGGCAGATTTCATGTCAGAGTTCTCCATCAAGATGATGAGCATTGTCATCAAGCCATCACAGCTCTGCCAGAACTTACATCTGTATGTCAACAAGGATGAACCACTGGTGGTGGTCTATCCTCTGACAGGACTCAGAGAGCTGACCTTTTACATTGCTTCCCACATCATGGACAATGATCTCAACAGCACTGTATTGACCAGTCCAATCCCCTACATGGCTACAACCACCACAGGCCAGTCTATCTTGTTCAACAACAACAGCAACAGCAGAGCTCAGCTTCAACTGCAGAGCATCAATGAGATCCCCAAACATCTGCAGGGCCTCTCTCCCAATTCCCAGTGGGATGCATACAACAGCACAATGAGTGACATGCCAGACATGCTGGACAAGTACAAGACCAACAAAGCTACACCAGACGCACCAGCAG